AAACAAACTTTGTTCTAAAAATTTTTAATTGTGGATACAATAAATAAGATTTATTTATAAATTTTTTTAACGTATTCCAAGATTGGTTTAACCTCGACTACAACTGTGACAATGGCATCATTAGAGATGTAGTCGACTGTGAAGCTAATAAATGTTACAAGGACTGGAAGACTACCTTGCACAGACGCTTCCAGAAGATGGGAGGGGCAGAAAATGAGAATTTTGTCAGGCAAAATTCTCCTTAAAACTTGAGGAGAAAAGAGCAATGGGGACCTTACTATGGTCGTTTTACGTCCCCTACTTTTTAGGTTCAATTTCATTATGTCTTCTTACTTTTGATTAATTAGTTTATTTAATTATTATGTTACTAATTCATCTATGATCATTACTAGAAAAAATATGCTACAAATTAACAAAACCACGGCAGTCAAAAGTGGTCTAGCTTCCATGGTAGAAAGTTATACTCCCAGCATCGTTTCGATAAGGGAATACTAATTTGCATACTTATTAAGTTTGTCACTTTGGCTTAATAATTATTCTAACACGTTCAACTTGATTAGGCAAATTCTGAGACCCAGTAGCTAAGATCATTAATTGACAATTGGGGTGACGTGCACCATCATGGGCATAATTTTATCAATTCAGACGCAGAACAGACATTTGTAAGTAAATTTTAAACTTATTTCTTTTTTCATATTTAACATAATATATTATACTATTTTTATTCATTATTATTTCATTTATCTTTGCAGGCTCAGATGGAAGGGGAAAGAACCACACACATTACACAGTCTGCTGGCGAAGGTTCATCCACGTCGATCAATAAGGAGGAGATTATGTCCCCAAGCCTTGTGCAAGCACAGAGGACAGATTGAGGGAGTGGTACCGACACTACCACGAAGGAATCGTTCAAGCGCTTCCACCTCATCATCTGCTTCACAATCGGACGAGTCATCTTCGGTTAAATTGCCCCAGCATGTCCAAAACTGGCTGAACAACCTCTACATGGACCAATGAAACATGTTCGACATCCAGTAGATCATGATGGATGTCATGAGCTCGATGAATCCCAACATCAACTTCTTGCCAGTTAACCGTCCCCAACCGTTGGTTCCTCTGCCGCCTGAGCGAAACTAAGAAGACGAGGATGAGAACGAGGATGAGGACGACGATCTTGCTAATTTAGGAGATTAAAATATCTCTTGTTATTTTTCTTATTATCAATACTTTTTTGTTTTTCTTGATTAATTTACTTTTTAAGACTTATTTTATTATTGTGTTGGCTATTTTATATCAATTATATTATTCTATTTTATTATTAAATTTTCTTCAAATTTGTATTTTTATTAATTAATATTATTAGGAAAGTACTGAAAAAAAGAAAATACTATTTGCGATGACATATCTAAAGTGTCGTTGCAAATAATTCACATTACTAGCGACGACGGTTTAGTCGTAAAAGGTTTAAAGACTTTTGTGACGACACTATGTCATCACAAATACGTTATGACACGTCATCATCAATGACATATTCGATAGAACATTCGTGATGACTTATTCATGACGATTGTCGTCGCTAATATATTTGCGACGACATTTCAAAACTATGTCGTCACAAATATATTAGTTGCGACATATTTTTTGTGACGACGACATGTCGTCAAAAATACAATATTTGTGATGACATATAAGTTATTTGTGATGACATGGCATTGCCGCAAATGACCGTTTTTATTGTAGTGTAGAGAGACGAGATGGCGGTGACGAAGATGAGAGAGCATTTCATTCTTGGTCTTGAACTACTCATACTCTAAATGAAAATGTTAAAAAACTAATCCAACTGCTATAATATAAAAAGCTTCAAGTGAAGCAAAAATGCATGTCCGGCCATAAATTTTGCTGAAAATTAATCTTTTTGAAGAAAATAAAGAGAAAAGTTGTAGTACGGTTGGGAGAAGGTTGTAGAAAATTTAAGAAACTAAATAAAGTAAATAGCATATTTTAAAACTAATTGAATTAAATAGCAACTTATGTGGTAAATGAATCATTTACTGCTTAAATGGCTCATTTACAATTAGTAAAAATATTTTTTCATGTAGATTTTCTTGTTACAATAGTTTAAAAAAAAAAATTTCCACACAAATAAAGATTTTTTAGGATTTTTACCACGTAAATTACTCTTTTACCATTCGTAAATGAATCGTTTATAATGTAGAGTGTAAATGAATCATTTAAGATGTAAACTGCTATTGAGCTCAAATAGTTTTAAAATATGCTATTTACTTAATGTAGTTTCAAAAATCTATTATTTACTACAATTTCTCAAAAATAAGGGGGAAAGTTGTAGCAGGTTCAGCTTATATGTACTACTAGTCGTGCATGTTATGTACCATAGGATCAATCTTTGACAAGATTGATGTCCTAAGGTCTATTGATATAGTGTAGGCTGGTTGTATAGGATAAACAACTCATACGTAAGAGCGAAAAAAAATCCTTCATCGCAATCTTTAATATTTAATATTAATAACGAAGGTTCTGGAATTATTATTTGCGATGACATATATTAATGTCATCGTAAATAATTTTTGAGAAACCGGCCAATTTTTCCGCCGTTTATTTTAGCGAGGGAATACAAAATCAGTATTTACGACAACACATATTAATGTCATCGTAAATAAATTTTGGAAACTGCCAAAATGACCCCTTTTTACTCAGAGGACAATAAATAAATGAATTACTTTTTGCGATGACTTATGTCATCGCAAATACTGAATTACTTTCGACGCTTGCCATCACAAATAATGTTATTTTGGCGGCTAACGTTGGTGCCACACAACATTTGCCGCCAACTACATATTTGCGATGACGTGTGAATTTTTAGCGACGACCATATTCATGTATTAGTGCTAACTCTAGGAATTAGAGTTATTTTAGGCATTTCTAGGTTTATAGTTGGCTCATCCAAAGGTTAGCTGTTAATTTTCTACTTTATTTGCTCAACTTTTGGTTCATGTGGTGCACTCTGCTGAGATTCATTTGTGTGTGGTTTTTGTGGTAATTTTGAAGAAAACTGTGAATGTGTGCCCAAAAGGTGTCATTTCTGTTTTGCAGGTTTCGTGAGGATAAATGCTGCAGTATTTGCTACAATAAAAATATGACAGCATGTAGTTAGTAGATGACGTCAGCACATAACTTTGCACGAGAATTAGGACAAAGAGCACAGAAGACGGATTTGGTGTTGAGTCAGCTGGAACCAACCTCTGAGAAGGAGCCACCTCAGTGTCCTTGGTTACCCTAAAGAGGAATGCACCTGAATTCTCAACAGTGGCAAGCGAAAGGAGAAAATAGAAAGAGGACCCAAGTAAGAAACAGGCAGCAGGGAGAGCAAAAAGAAAACCAGAGAGAAAGAAAGAAAGGAAGACAAGTACGGAGGAGACAAATTTGGAGCTGGAAATCTCAAGGAGTGAAGCCACGAGAGGAGACCACCAAGCTTCATCTTGTCTTTACTGTTGTTCACCTCATTTTGGTTTATCTTTCCTCTTCCTCTGTATTCAAATCATGGCTGTTTATTTTGTTGAAATTAACAGAACAAGTATGAGCTAAATTAACTGGCTGGGATGATAAAGTACTCAGATCTATAATTAACGTTGTGTATGCTCACTTTTGCTACATTAATGTTGATCTAGTTTGTTTAATATAATCGTTATCGTTCATTTTTATTTACTGATTGAGCATCATAAATAAAATACTATGAGTTCGATTTGCTAGAAAGTTGATTGGAATTAGACAATTATTGAACAATGTGTTGTTAGCTAAATTTCACAAAGAAATCTAGTTGATTTACGAGTAGTATAGGAATATACACTTGTCTCACATAGCCCAATTGAAACCTATACTTAAATTATCCTCTCCGTTTAGATTTCTCATAATATGTTGAAATGTGAGTAAAGAGGTGAAATCATAAGTAGATCGGGAGATTCTTGTGTTAAATTTGTGTTTCAGGTTAACTGACAGCATTATTGTAGTAAAAGTCATAGCATAAATAGCCCATGTTGCAGTGAAGGGTAAATTGGGTCTCAGTCCTTCACATAGATTGATTTTCACCTTTGATAACTGAGTGTCCGTTTATTTACTTCTATTTTATGCAATTATTTTAGTCTTGTAGTTGAATCGAACCATTAAATTTGTTTATATTGCATCTCTTGGAACTTATTAGAAAAAATATTGATAACTTTCTCCATGAGAATGATACTCTACTCATTCACTTTATTACTTGTTTAGTAGGTGCTCTTGTGTAGTTAATTTTACACCAACAAGTTTTTGGCGCCGCTGCCGGGGACAGTTATCATTATTGATCTTTGTGAAATTCAAGTGTTTCTATTATTTTACTTGACAATTTTATTTTCTTGTATTTTAGATACTCTTATTCTCGCATGAATCGACAACAAGACAGTGATTTGTTGCCCTTGGATCCATAAATTGAAAGAACGTTCCTAGCAAGGAGAAGGGAGCAGTAAGGTTTAGCAGTTCTTGAAGGAATGGTAGAGGAAGCCGCTGGCAATGCAGTCAACCTTGGGCAGCCTGTAAATGTTAATAATCTAGTTAACCAGACAGCCATGGTAGATGACTGGGATAGGGCCATCAGAGAATATGCCATTCCGATTTTACATAGGCTTAATTCGAGCATCATTAGGTTGGAGATGCAGGTGCCTCAGTTTGAGCTTAAACTGATCATTTTTCAAATGTTGTAAACATTAGGCCAATTCAATGGCATGGCAACTAAAGATCCCTACTTGCATCTCAGGCTATTCATGGAAGTCTGTGATACTTTTTAGCTTCCAGGGGTTACAGAAGAAGCTTTAAGACTGAAGCTCTTCCCTTATTCCTTAAGGGATAGAGCTAGGGCATGGTTAAACTCTCTACCACCAGACTCTATAGCGACTTGGAATGACTTGGCAGAGAAGTTTTTGATGGAGTATTTTCCTCCAACTAGGAATGCTAAGCTTAGAAATGACATCACCGGATTTCAGCAACATGAGGGGGAATCTTTGTATGAGGCATGGGAGAGGTTTAAGGAATTGTTGCGCAAATGCCCTCACCATGGGATTCCTCATTAGATTCAGATAGAGACGTTCTACAATGGACTTAATGGGCAAACTCGAACCATAGTAGATGTTTTGGCCAATGGTGCTATTTTGGCAAAGACTTACAATGAGGCTTATGAGATTTTAGAACGGATGGCTAATAAAAACTATCAATGGCCTGTGGAGAGAGTAGCTGCAGCTAGGAGAGTAGCAGGAGTTTATGAAGTGGATACGGTCACAACTTTAACCGATCAAGTATCATCCTTGGCAGGTATCTTAAAATCAATGAATCAAGGGGTGAATTCTCCTCAGTTTACAGCGGTCTCTTGTACTTACTGTGGTGAAAGACATCTCTTTGATAGTTTTCCATCTAACCCGGAATCAGTATGTTATGTAGGCAACTTCAACAAAAACAACAATCCATATTCCAATACTTATAACCCAGGTTGGAGGCAGCACCCAAATTTTTCTTGGAACTCTCAAGGGCAGAACGCAGCATCATCATCAACAGCAAATCACCCTCAACATCCTCCTGGATTTCCACAATAGCTGAGACATCAACCGGCGGAACAACACTCATCGATTGAGCACTTGTTGAAGAAGTACATGGCAAAGAATGATGCCATTATTCAAAATCAGTCGGCACTGATTTAGTACTTAGCAGCTTCATTGAGGAACTTAGAGAAACAAATAGGGCACTTAGCTAACGCCTTGACTAGTCATCTGCCAAGTGCACTCCTAAGTAATACTGAAGATCCTAGGCATGTAGGCAAAGAGCATTGCAAGGCTATTACGCTAAGGAATAGGACAGAATTATAGCAAGTGACTAGACAGCCCAATCACCAAGAAGAACCCTCTTCAATCCAACGTGAAGTGGAAAAGGAAGCAGAAGTGGAAGAATCTAGAAAATGAAGTGATGCTGCAGAACCTATAGTAACGCTGTAGTAAAGTTTGGCAGAAAAGCAGAATGACAGACCACTGCCACATTTTCCTCAAAGATTCCAAAAGTAGCAGCAAGATAAGCAGTTTCAAAGGTTTCTAGATGTCTTGAAGCAGCTTCATATTAACATTCCATTGGTGGAGGCGCTTGACCAAATGCCTAGTTATGTGAAATTCATGAGGGACATTCTTTCGAAGAAAATAAGACTAGGAGAATTCCAAACAGTGGCAATGACGGAAGAAAACAACAACATTTTATAGAATAAAATCCCTCTAAAGTTAAAAGATCCTAGAAGTTTCACCATCCCATGTGCAATTGGCAATAACTACTTTGGCAAGGCTCTCTGTGATTTTGGAGCAAGCATAAATCTTATGCCTATGTTAGTTTTCAAGAAGCTTGGAATCGGGGAAGCATGGCCAACCACAGTAACTCTTCAATTGGCTGATCGATCTTTAGCTCATCCAAAAGGAAAAATTGAAGTTGTCCTGGTGAAAGTAGACAAGTTTATCTTTCCCATTGATTATTTTAGATTATGAAGGTGACAGGGAGGGGCCCATCATTTTAGGGAGACCATTCCTAGCTACAGGGAGGACATTAATAGATGTACAAAAAGGGGAGTTGATAATAAGAGTCAATGATGAGCAGGTCACTTTTAATGTTCTTAAGGCAATGAGATTTCCTTATGAAGTGGACGAATGCTCTTTGGTGAATGTAATGGATACTAGTGCTTTTAAGGAGTTGGAGCAAGAGTTGGAAGAAGAAACTTTAGAATTGGGTAGCCAATTGGCTTGGTTGGAATAAGGGACAACCGATACAGCTAGAGAAAGGCAATTTGAGCCTTTAGGGCTGTCCGAAAGTGAGCTCAAACCACCTAAGCCATCTATAGAAGAACCCGAACTCTTAGAGTTGAAGCCTTTGCCATCCCACCTCTGGTATGCATTCTTGGGAGAAGCAGAAACGCTACCGGTCATTGTTTCAGCCGAGTTAACTAAAGATCAAGAACATAAGTTACTTGAACTGCCAAGGAAGTTTTAAAAAGTAATAAGATGGACAATTACAGATATAAAGGGAATTAGTCCATCCATATGCATGCACAAAATTTTACTGGAGGAATGCTACAGCAATTCCGTGGAACATCAAAGAAGGCTAAATCCAATCATGAAGGAAGTTATAAAAAAATAAATCATTAAATGGTTGGATGCAGGGATTGTTTATCCTATTTCAAATAGTTAGTGGGTTAGTCCAGTGCAATGTGTACCCAAGAAGGGAAGAGTGACTGTGATAGTGAATGACGCGAATGAGTTATTCCCCATGCGCACAGTCACAGGCTAGAGAGTGTGCATGGACTACAAAAATTGAACAAGGCCACTAGGAAAGACCATTTCCCATTGCCATTTATTGACTAAATGCTAGACACACTAGATGGCAGAGAGTACTACTATTTTCTGGATGGGTATTCAGGGTATAATCAGATTGCAATAGCACTAGAAGACCAGAAGAAGACTACTTTCACTTGTCCATATGAGACAGTTGCATTCAAGAGGATGCCCTTTGGGCTATAGAACGCCCCCGCTACCTTTCAGTGCTGTATGATGGCCATCTTCTCAGATATGGTAGAACAATTCTTAGATGTCTTTATGGATGACTTTTCGGTGGTTGTGGCTTCTTTTAACAACTGCTTGGAAAATTTGGAAGGAGTTCTAAAGAGATGTGAGGAGACAAGTCTAGTTTTGAATTGAGAGAAATGTTACTTCATGGTGACAGAATGAATTGTTCTTGGCCACGGGATATCTAAGTAGGGGATTGAGGTAGATAAAGCTAAGATAAAGATTATTGATTGAGGTAGATAAAGCTAAGATAGAGATTATCGATAGGCTGCCGCCCCTACATCAATTAGAGGAATCAAAAGTTTCATGGGTCATGCAGGTTTTTACAAGAGATTCATCAAAGATTTCTCAAAAATCTCAAAACCTTTGTGTTCATTGTTAGAGCAGAACACTCCCTTCAATTTGGATGCGGATTACTTGCAGGCATTCGTAGAGCTAAAAAAGAAACTTACAATAGCACCCAATATTGTGGCTCCGGAGTGGTCATTACCACTTGAGTTGATGTGTGATGCTAGCGACTTTGCAGTGGGAGTGGTGTTGGGCAAAAGAAAAGACAAGAATTTTCACTCCATCTACTATGCAAGTAGAACACTAACTGAGGCGTAGTTGAACTATACAACCACTGAGAAGGAACTTCTAGCGGTGGTGATTGCATTTGACAAGTTCGGGGCATATTTGGTGGGAACCAAGGTTTTGGTGTAAACTGATCACTTGGCCATCAAGTACTTGATTGCAAAGACTGATGCAAAGCCTAGGCTGATTAGATAGATCTTGTTACTCTAGGAGTTTGATTTAGAGGTCGGAGGTAGAAAGGGGACTGAAAATCAAGTTGCAGACTATTTGTCCAGATTAGAGGAAGGGGTCCCCCAGAGAGACAAAGAGCTAATAAAGGAGACTTTTCCAGATGAGCAGCTGTTCAGAATGAATCGGTTGGCTACATCTTGGTATGCTAATATCATGAACTACTTGGTAAGTGGTCTACTTCCACCTGAACTTTCTAGCAAACAAAAGAGGAAGTTTCTTCATGATGTCAAGTTCTATTATTGGGATGAACCATATTTGTACAAACAATGTGCCGACCAGATTCTGAGAAGATGTGTCCCTGAGGAAGAAATGGAAAGCATTCTACATCATTGCCATTCATCACCTTATGGTAGGCATTATGGTGGAATTAGGGCAGCTTCAAAGATTTTACAATCAGGATTCTACTGACCGACCATTTTTAAGGATGCTCATGCATACGCTTTGTAATGCGACAAATGCCAACGGACAGGGAACATCTACAGGAGGCATGAGATTCCTCTAAATAACATCATGAAAGTGGAGTTACTTGATGTGTGGGGTATAGACTTTATGGGACCCTTCTCATCCTCATTTGGAAACCAATACATGCCAGTGGCTGTCGGCTATGTCTCCAAATGGGTGGAAGCAGTTACACGATCCACCAATGACTTAAAAGTTGTAGTGCAATTTCTTAAGAAGAATATATTCACGTGCTTTGGCACCCCTAGAGCCGTAATAAGTGATGAGGGGACACACTTTGGGAGCAAGCAATTTGAGAAACTCTTGAAGAAATATCAGGAAAAACATAAGGTTGCTACAGCTTATCATCCACAAACTAGTGGACAAGTGGAGGTTTCTAACAGGGAGATCAAGAGAATTCTTGAAAAAGTTGTTAATCCCTCAAGGAAGGATTGGTCGGCTAGGCTTGATGATGCTTTAAGGGCATACCGAACAGCCTTTAAAACCCCTTTGGGAGTATCTCCATAGAGGCCTGTGTTTGGGAAGGCTTGTCATCCACTAGTGGAACTTGAGCATAAAGCATATTGGGCAATCATGAAGCTTAATCTGGACATATAGGCCGCTGGGGAATAGAGACTCATGTAACTCAAGGAAAAGACCAAGAGGTGGCATGACAGCAAAATACTCCCTCGAAAGTTTGAAGTAGGGCAAAGTATGCTTTTTTTCAATTCCAAGCTGAAACTCTTTCCAGGAAAGTTAAAATCACATTGGTCAGGGCCGTTCAAAGTTGTTGCAGTTTTCCCACATGGTGCAGTGGAGCTTATTGAAGAAAATTCAGGAAGAAAGTTTAAGGTGAATGGCCAGCGGTTGAAGCATTATTTGGGAAGTGAGATGAATAGTGAGAAGACTTCAATCTCCTTGCAAGATCCATAAAGTACACAGGCGTCGGGCTGTTGACGTTAAAACAAGCGCTTTCAGAGGCAACCCAATTTCTATTTAGTGTTTTGATTTGTTTTGTCCAAATTTTGTTGTTTCAGTTTATCATGGTTTTTGTATTTTTGTTGGTTAAGTTGCTCGTTCATTGTCAGAGCTTATCTTAGGATTTCTTTCATTTTATGGTGTAAGGACTCACAAGGACAGCTGAAATTTAGGAATCAAGTCTGGTTTGAAGAGTGAGAACAACACGTATTGTGGTAATAGACTGTTTAAAAAAATACGGTAGAAAATGATGCAA